CTGGAGAAGCTGTGCTTTGGGGTGGGGGACGGGCAGAACATTCTGATTTTGCATCTTTATTCTGATTCTGGAGTCCGAGCCCTAACGTACCCCATCACTCAGTGACTTCAGCCTGGCAACCTCAGGATTACCTGCACCTTCCTTTCTTGTTCCCTCTCTAGGGCCAGATCTGCTCAATGCCACCTCAGAAATGGCTCTCAGATCCAGCCATTGCCATTCCTGTCACAGCCAATACTTGGTCTAAGGCCTTGGCACCTGGGTTCCTTGATAGATACCATTTTTTAAGTTTTACTAAGTACTGTTAATAATAGCAAACACCCAGGCAGTGTTTCCTACATGCCAAGAACTGTTCCAAGAGCATTCTATCCTCACAGCAACGCTATGAAATTGGATTATTATCCATGTTTCACAGAGGAGAATGGAGAACAGAGAGGTTAAGTTAGGTGGCCAAAGTCACAGAGCAGGTCAGTGGCAGATCTGGGATTTGGATTCATGTGGTCTGTCTCCAGAGTCTCTGATCTTAAACCACTAAACCATACTGATTCTGTTTTAATTTAACCCATTATTATTTTTATTGTTGTTGCATTTTTTTGGGAATAGGGATACAGTTGACGGGTTCAAAATTTAAAAGCTAGAGAAAGCTGCATACTGCAAAGACTCTTTGCCACTGTGGTTCTCCACCATCCAGGCCCTGGTTCAGGAGGTAGTGAGCACAACCACTTTTATTGGTAGCATCCCAAGCAAATACATATGTTATTTCCCTCTGTTTTCTCCCCTCATACAAATATCCTAGACTGGGTACAATTTGGCAGTAAGCCTTTTTCATTGAACATATATTGAAGATCGTTCCATATCAATACATGAAGAAATTCCTCATTCTTTTTCTTTCTTTCTCTCTCTCTCTCTTTTTTTAAGACTGCAGATGGTCTAGGGGTGGGCAAACTTTTCCTGTAAAGGGCCAGATAGTAAATATTTTAGGCTTTGTGGTCCATATGGTCTCTGTCACATATGCTGCTACTGTTTTTTTTTTAAACCTTTAAAAATGTAAAAACATTCTTGTCTCACGGGTTGAATTAAAACAGGCTAGAGCCCAGATTTAGCCATGGATCATTGTTTGCTGAACCTTGAACTGGGAGGCTCTTCCCTTGCCACCCCGTATCCAGTCTTCCCTCACTCTGGCCCCTCTTGAGCAACTTGAAAGCACTATGCTCCTCTCTTACGACACTGACAGGGCTTCCTTTAAACCTCTGTGGCTCCCCACTTGTGGCAGGGTAAAGTCCGGGGTGCTTGGTGGAGCCTACAATGCCCTTCACAATCCACAACGCTCCTTCATGTCTACTGCACTGGTCCATGCCACCATCAGCTCTTAGCCTCAACTCCTGCAGCGACCCCTTTGCCCCACTATTGGTATACAACCCTCTTGCCCCAAATTCACTCTCCACATGGCAGCATAGGCCTAGGGATTTTTGTAGAAGGGCAGATCACAGATGGGAACCTCCAGTGGCTTATTGTGACCCTAGAAGGACGTGAACTTCTTTATCATGGTCTACAAGGTGAGGCAGCTCTGCTTGACCCTCCTGTCCCACCTCATTGTCACCATCCTCCCCTCCCTCTGGTCCCTACCCATAAGCCACACTGACTTTTCTGTTCCTTGAACAAGCCTAACCCATTTCTGCCTGGGAGGGTGCTCTTTGCTTGGCTCCCTCCTTGGAGTTCAGCCTCAGTTCAAATGCCACTTCCTTATTGAGGCCTCCCCGTAGCTCCCAACCTACAGGAGCCTTCCAATAGTCATCACCACACCACCATGCTGAATTTTCTTGTTGGCCCTTGTGGTCATCTATATCTTGGTTTGTATTTGCCAGTTCTCTGGTCTGCTGGAACGTGTGGGTATGTCCAGTGCCCAACATGGTGCCTGACACGTATTAGATGAACACTTAAAATTTTTCTGATTGAACAGTTGAAGAGTTTCAGTCCCATTTACCTTTCCTAGTGGATCTTTCCTCCCTCCTCATTTTCTGCTCTGGTCTCCAGGTCCACTGGCCTTCTCACCCATCACTAAACACGAACTTCCCTCTTAAGGTTTTACACATTTGCACTTGTCATTTCCTTCTCTGAGCAACGAACTCCTACTCACCCATCAACACCCAGTCAAATGTTACCTCTTCCATGAAGCTTTTATATTTTTTGGGAGTGTCAACTTCTTCCTCAGGCAGGCTCCCACAGCACTTTGCACAGAGTTGCAGTCACACTGGGCTATAATTATTTACTTACCACAAATGTTTATTTATTTACTTATTATATCCTGACTACGCTTAGACACCACACACACACACACACATACACACATATTCGTATGAATATATATATTCATCTGTGTGTGTGTGTGTTCATCTGCAGCTTCTCTACCTATATGTATTACATTTTTATTTTACCCAAACGAGCAGGAACACCTTGGCTGGGATGTATATGGTAAGTGTGTGCATACAATGATATAAACTGCAGCATTTAGCTCTGTGCTAAGTGCTTCCCATATGTTTTTTTTTTTTTTTAAAGATTTTATTTATTTATTTGACAGATAGAGACCAGAAGTGGGCAGAGAGGCAGGCAGGAAGAGAGAGAGAGGGAAGCAGGCTCCTGCGAGCAGAGAGCCTGACATGGGGCTTGATCCCAGGACCCTGAGATCATGACCTGAGCTGAAGGCAGAGGCTTTAACCCACTGAGCCACCCAGGTGCCCCTTCCCATATGTTTTTTCATGCAACTCTCCCAATAACCCAAACGAGGTTGGCACTGTTAGTATCTCTAATTTGTCAATGGGGACACTGAAGCGAGATTAGGTAACTCACTCTGGGTGGACCTGCGAGCCTCCAGCAGGCCGTCCTGCGGCCAGCACGGGTGGCTCTTTGGAGATCTGTTTGCCCTTGAGGTGGTGCACAAATCTGTCCTGTTTCCCGATGTGATATCTGGGGGCACAGCTCTGCTCAGGGAGGGGTCAGGCGGGGCTCTCTCCCTCCCCTGCAGCAAAGCGCTCCCTTGTTGGGGGGCACAGCTGCCCCTCTGCCAGCCAGATGGAGAGGCACGATGAGGACGCTGCCCTCCGTACACCTGTGACTGTGCCATCCCCAAGGGCAGCCAGATGTCCTTGGGGCCCGCCTCCTGCTGCCACATGCTGCTTATCCACGGGGACATAAGCTGCTCTGCCAGCTTACCCTCGAGCTAATGCAAAGGGACTGCAGGGCTCTGGGCAGAAGGGAGAGAGCCTAGAAGGCAGAGGAGATAGGGCAGAAGGAGCTCCCTTTCTTTATCATTTCCTTTCGTTATTTCTTTTCCAGCGTCATTGAAATGTAATGGACCAATACAGATCATATCTATTTAAGGTGCACAACACAGTCATTTGGTGTAGATAAATATTTTGTGAAAGCACAGCAAAGGAAGCCATCAACAAGAAGAAAGGCAATCTATGGAATGAGAGAAAACATTTGCCAAGCCATATATCTGGTAAGGTGCTAATATCCAAATTATATAAGGAACCCCTACAGCGCAGTAGAAAAATAAATAAATAACCAGATTAAAAAATGGGCAAAGGACCTGAATAGATATTTTTCCACAGAAGACCTACAAATGACCAACAGGTACACAAAAAGGTGCTCAACATCTTTACCCTTTCCTTCAAGCGAAGAGACTTTCCTTGCCTATTCCTTTAGGGGATAAGGGCAATGGACAATAATTAGCATGTTTTCCCCCATAGAAGAGCAGGCTCCATTGCAGAGTGTATCCTGGCATAAAGGAGGAGAGAGCGCCGGAATAGATTTGTCATAGTCTGGCTTCTATTTGTGGGCACGATGTAACTTTTCGGCTCATCGGGAAAATTCTGTCTAGAGAAGTAGGCCATGAACTTTACAGCCGTGCTATTCCAAGTGAGGTCCTTGGATGAGCAGTGCCAGAACCATCTGGGGGCTCGCTAGCTTTGCAGACTCTGGGACCCACTCCAGACAGGACATGTCTGATTCTGAATTTTAACAGGATCCCCCAAGAGCTTTGCAAGCGCATTCAAGTTTGAGAAACGCGGACCGAGGGTGCCTGATGTAAATGTGAGTTGGGCCTCTATACCTAAGAAATCCTGATACACTCGGTGCGGTGGAGATCCAGAAATGTGGCAAGCATCACCTCCTTTTGGGGTTTCTGCTTCCTTTTGTGAGCAGCTGTGGTCCAGAGGCAGTGCTGTGTGGTGGCAAGAGTCCCGGCACTCTATTTAGACGGACCAGGGACTGAATCTCAGCTCCGCTAACTACTGAATAGGTAATCCTGATGAAGCCCTTCATCTTGTCCTGCTTTTGCTTCCTCACCTCTAAAATGCAGAAAGTAAAGGCCTCCGCCTTCAGCTGTGAGGTTTAAAGGCAATATATGCAAAGTGCCAGTACCAAACCCACGGCACAGAGCACGCAGAAGGTTGAGTATTCTATTAGGCCAAGCAGCTCTCTATCGGTTGCACCACTGGAGGGCAGAACCAGCCAGAGTACGGTTTAATTTCAATTGCAGAGACAGGGAAGGCAAAGGGGGGTTAACTAAGGTGTGACTGGCTGGAGTTCCTTGGTTACTTATCCTTGATCTTAAAGACACAGAGAAAGGATCAGACCGCGACAGGCACCGAACAGCCATCATTTACCAAGAATCCCCGGGAGGCAAGTTTAAAAGGCTGATTCCTGGATGTCGTTACCCCAAGATGCTGCTTCATCAGGTGTGGAGTACAGCCTAGGGATCTGCATTTTGATCTCTGGATTATATGCACGAGGCCACCGATCTCACTCTGAGAAGCAGCGGCTCAGAGAATGTGTGAATTCATTCAGTGCACAAAGAGCTTGATGCACGTGGGGCTCTTTGCCCGTACTGAGCCACAGACACGAAGAGAACCGGCTCTGCCCAGAAGCATGCGCCTCTGAGGAGAATGGAAGGTCTGCGCTGCTGGTGCTAGGACATCAAGAGCAAGGGGAGAAAGCCGTACCTGGGCGTCTGCAGCTTCAATGGTGTGGGACAGACTTCCGTTTTGTACAGGTTCCGAAGCATCGCTGGACGGTGTCATTTCAACCTCCGTGCTTGTGCTGTTTGGGAGCTCGATTTTTTCTGTGGTACAACGTAGACACACACAGAGAAAGCAAATGGAGTCAGTGGGGGTAAGAGCCATAGGGGACGGAACGTCCTGAAATGCTAGGCCAGAGAAGACAGTGGTTTCTGAGGGGTGGTGGTAAGACCCAGGCTGGGGTGGCACCAAATAGCAAAGGATTTTTTACCTTCTCCCCAGTACCTTTCGGTGTTTTCAGTCCTCCTCCTCTCTTTAATAGCTCTCTGGCTTTCTCAGTCCGGCCTTATATCTTGAGCCCCCTTTCAAAATGCTGGGGGGCATTTTCTACATTAGGCACGTCACCAAGTAACCATTCGAGAACATGAACACAGACCTTTTTTCTTTCACCAAAACCATACTCAATCTACACACTAATATTTATACCTAGGACTATCCCCCTTGGACGGATGGATGGATGGAGATAGATAGATAGATAGATATATACATATCTATCTATCTATCTATCTCCATATATATATGTGTGTGTGTGTGTATATATATATATATATATATATACATATATTTTTTTTTCCATGAATGTTTACTGTAGGATCTTTTCTTCTATATGACATTCTGGAAAGGATATTTATTGGCTAGGGCCCAGGAGCCTTGGGTCCAAGGCTTTGCTCTGCCATTATTAGGCTGGGACTTTAGGCAAATCTCCTTTCTTTGGGTTTAGGAACCTTATCCGTAAAATGAGGGGGTGCAACTGGTTGACCTTAGGGCCCACTGCTTCCAGCTCTAATTCTCTAGGCTCGTTGAGTATACATCCCTGCCTATATCTGGGTGGCAGGGGCAGGCTCAAGAGCCCGGCCTTCTCAATGCCTGGAGAGCGCTATTCAGCCCATCCTACACCTGGGCATCCTATCACAAGCAAGGCGAGGGGAAGGTGAACGAGAAACAGAGGGAAACCTCTGTCACTCCTAAGTGAGGGGTAACGTCTCCCTGGCACGAGCCACAGGTCAGCAGGTACAGATTCCAGTCTCCTTCTGGGAGTTGAGAAGTGCCTCCAGGATCATGGTGAAGCCCTGGGACTCTCTGACACTGGGCATCACAGACCAGCCTGGGCTCTTTACTCCGGTTCTACTGCTTATGCTGTGGGACGCCGAGCGAGTACCGAAACTTCTCTGAGATTCAGCTTCCTCGCTTGTGAACCTGGGGGGAGGAGCTAATACTGCTAACAACAATACAGCAATCAAAGGGTATGCCTGCGATGATGAGATAACAACATGCACACAAAGCACTTGGCGCAGAGCTGGCACAGAGCAAGCAAGCAACAACCTCTCCCGATTACAGTAACTGCCCGGCACTAGTAGATTTCTTCTGGGGGCTGAGAGGAGCACTTCCCGGGATCAGGGATCAGCACCACCAAGGCCTGCCATGACTTCAGTGGGAGCAAAAGAGAAAGGTGCTTAGGCCTTCTGACTGTGCTGGGGAAATCTAGGATTTCAGGAGACAATGAAGCCGTGACGGTCAACGTCGGGTTGCTGGGAGTATCGTCATGCTCGTCAGTATAAGATATGAGCGGTATCGGGCCGCTCACAGAGTGCAGAATGTTTGTTTCTAGTGACTTCTGAAGGACGACACATTTGTATCACTGGAAAGTGTTTTGAGAGTTACATACAAATGATTGGGCTTGAAGTGGCCACCTTTTGGAAATCATAGGGAAGGGTTTCTGTTTATTCATGTATTTAGCTGTAGAATACAGAGGCATAAATATATTAAAATATGAAAAGCCACAGAAGCTCAGATTTATTTTATCTTTCCATGTTTTTAATAGTGACACTGTTACGTATGTGATGTTCTGCTGTGTGGGGCTCTGCCAGCTCACCCTAATAGGCTTGGTCCAGTTATGAAAAAATAACAAACACCAGGTACCTGGGGAAATATTAAAACTGGGTTTTGGGGTGTCTGTTAGCTGAAGTGAGACAACATTGAGATCAGCCCACAATGGCCAAGACTGACCCTACCAAAAGGGATGATCAGGTCCCAAAGTGGAATTAAGATCTTTGAGAATAGACATGAACAGAGGAGAAGAAATAGAGCCTGCATACAATATATAACACTTGCGCTTATTTCCCTCAAGTTTTTCTTTTCATGCCCAATAGAATTTTGACTGTTTCTTGGCCAAAGATCTTCCGGGAGCCAGAAGTCAGGCCAACAGGAGAGGCAGAAACTCTTCTTCTTCTTCTTTTTAAATGTTATTTATTTCAGAGAGAGTGAAAGCAATCACAGAGGGAGAGGGAGAAGCAGACTTGCCGCTGAACGGAGAGCCCACTGCAGGGCTCCATCCCAGGACCCTGAGATCATGAGCTGAGCCAAAGGCAGAGGCTTTAACTGACTGAGCCACCCAGGTGCCCCGAGGCATAAACTCTTCCTTAGGAATGGCCCGTATTTTAAGGGCAACCCTGTTGCATTTTGTCTGCAGATCATTGCAGTTTCTTGGGCAATAGCATCGTTTGTAGCAGAGATCCAGATTAGGTTAAATTTAGTCTGAATTTAGAATTAGTGAGTTAAATTATAGTTGCAGACAGGAGGAACATCATGTTCCAAGTTAAAATAAGATGTCTGAATGTCACGATCTGGTTCACACAGGAACTCAGAAAAAGTCAGCCCAAAGAGACCTGGACTGCTATTGCTGAATTCTTGAGAGAGGAGAGGTGGTGTTGCCTTGAAGGGACCCCCTCACTCAGTTTAGGAGTGACTAAGTGAACCGGCTGCTAACTTAGTGGGTGTGGCATGGACCATGTCCCAAGTATAACGGGTAAGTATCTGGTTAGCAGGCGAGAATCTCAGAAATGATACTCGCACCTTTTGTGAAACATTAAATGAGAGGTGTCTGTGTGTCTTCTTTCTGTGGGATTCCTGAAAAGTGATTTTTTTACTCTTCAAGGAAAATGCCTGGGTAGAAGCTGGTTTTACTTTGGGTTCCTTAGAGAATCATTTTTCTCTTCTTGGAGTTCCCCTAGGGTAGGTGACAGACTGGGTCCATTTACGCCCTGTACCCCCCCCAGGGGAAATGGGCTCTTGCGGACACCCAGAAATGGGCTGAGTTGCAGAGTTGGGGGTCTGCACCGAGTCAAGGGGGCCCACGCTGGGTCCTGCCTCCCTACTCCCCTCCGTGTGCTCCGGGAAAGTCACGGGATACAAGTTTCTCTGTACTTACCCACGTGGTTGGCAGCCCCGTTCTGCCTCTCATTCTCATCCACCTGGCATTTCTTCTTGGCAATCTTGTGGAGAATAGAAGCCTTTTCTCTGAACCTTCCTGAAGCAAGAGAAAGCAGTGGAAAGGAGACACAATGAGGAGGAAGATAAAGAGAGGGGCTCGCGGAAAATGGCAAAGCACCCGCCCAACAGGCCTGTGGCTTCCACAACTGCATGCTCAACCCAAAGGCCCCGTGTCCCACTCTTACCTTTGTGGATTACTTTAGCCCAAATCTCTGTTGAGAATCTCAAGCAGCCAGACCACAGATGGAAGGTTGGACTTGGACCTCTACCCTCCCTCCCGCTTGCTTACAAAATAAACGAAGGCACCGGTCATCCCTAAAACTCCCCCTCCTGCTGAGATCCAAAACAGGTCCAAAGACACAGAGCTGCGCTGAAGACACAGCCCTTAAATGTCCATCTCAGAACTGGCTTTCATCCCCGGAAAGCCAAGTCCAGGGGGCCTTTGAGTTGACTTTGGTTTCCAACATCTATCTTAATCAACATTGAAATTTCTAAACGAGCTGGGAGGATCCATCCCAAGTTTCTGAATTAGCTGAGTCAGCTGCAATTAAAGCATCAAGGAGGCAACTGCTTCCACCTGGGGATTTAGGGCAAAGAACGATCAACTGAGCGCAGCCAATAAAGTCTGTCAGCGATGAGCCGCTTAGGGAAAGGTGCTGGAAAAATACTCCAAGTTCTCAAAATCATCATTTCAAACAGCTATGCCACAAGTAAAACAATTTCTTCTCCATTACTGACATAATTAATGGTTAAATGCATGCAACAGGCACAGGAAAAAAAAAAGCATGCAAAAATGCAGAAATTAGTGAAACGTAGCCCGTTTTGCTTTCTCTTTTAATCCTTGATCCCCTCCTCCTGCCGGCCTGCCCCCCACCAGAACATTTAAGGTACAAGGAGCCTCATTTTAAACAGACTGTTTCTTGCCTAGATTCAGATGGGCTGAGTCCCTTCAGGGTATCACAACTTCTACAATTTTCTCCATAGGCATTTGTGTTGGCTGAATTCTCTAGCAGCATACTAACGGGGGGAGCTCATTTTACTTTTCTAGTTAGACCCAAACTGAACCAAACCACACCCAAACCCAGATGTTTCTCTCGAGAAGGTCTCTTTTCCTGGGATGGGACACACCAGGTTGGCATCCGCTGAGCCTCCCCTCCTCTCAGGTGGAAGTCACGGGGTGTCGTCACAGTGGTGACTTGTGTGACTGGGCAGGGATGACAGGAGTTGGAAGCCAGAGTGGGACCAGCTGATTCCAACGGTGAAGGTGACACCAGATGGAGCCCCTTCTGCTTCCAAGCTCCATGAGTCCCAAGCCCAGACACCTTGCTACCACAAAGGCAGCATCTAGGACGAGAGCGCCTCGGTGAAAGTGACAAACGTGCCTCAGAGCGCACCCTCTCGAGGGAAACAGGAAAGGAAATGTAACACAGAGCCAAGGAGGTCGGCACGTGGCTTGGGCTTCACGAGGAGTGAGAAAGAAGGATGAGGCGACAGGCACGATGTCCGTCCCTGAGGGAGGCAGAAGGTCAGTGTTAGAATCTCCATGCTGGAAGGTATTTTGAATTCAGCTGTTTTTATCTAATTTCTGAGGGAAACTCTGGGAAGAAAAGGGGAAATAAAAGAAAGGCTGGGGATTAAGAGGAGGTAGAGGTGAAAGGGACTAAGAAAGGACTAAGAAAATGAAGAGAAAAAGGGGTTCAAGGAAGGAGGAGGCAGGCAGGACTGCCTGGAGGTTGGCAGCGTGAACATCAGGCTCTCTCCTCGCTGCCAAACCTAGTCTTATCTGCTTCTTCATACTCTGCAGCCATAAGCCCGAAGAGGGGGACTGCTCGTGGAAGACACCTCCAAGAGGTCCTCCTTCATTTGCTACAAAGCCCAGAAGATGGAGAAAGAAAGTTCTGAAACATGGAAGATGGCGCTTCTAGCAGTGAAACTCTTCAGTGGTCTCAGCGTTACTGTTTGAACTCAGAAACGTCTATAGCTCTGTGAAATGAAGATGATCAGTAATTGCCATTTAACAATTACAAAAAAATGACAATAAAGCAGGAAAGCATTCAGAAGATGAGACAAATAAACCTGTAGAAACAACCTGAAACAACCCAATCTAAGGAATGCCCCCAAGTCAGGAATCACGGCAGAGAACATACTTGACAGGAAACAGCTGATTCCCTACTGTGTGTGGTGAACAGGAGTGTTGTTCAGCTGTAGACTAGAAGGAAATGATCATAAAAGGCACCCCAAAGCATGGAAGGGTCCTGCCACTCATGGGCTGGCTTCCCCAAATCCTCTGAAGGAAGCCTGGGAGTGTAGGGTAGGAAAAGATTCTAGACTTGGGATTTCGTAGGTTCTCAAACATTTTCACAGGTCAGCGAGGACTTTCCAGGTAGCGTGTCGCTACTTTTCCCACTGCAGCAACACTTGAGATTTTCTAAGCTGCTGAAAGGTGGGAGGGGTTGGCTCTCTTTGCTTTCTCTTGGGGTTTAGCCCTAGGGGCAGCCAGGAAAGTTGGGGAGGCTGGCTAGGACCTCTCCTTTCCCTCACTTCTTCCACTTCTTTGATTCAACCTTAGTCCCAGTTAGCATGACCTGATTACCGTTCTGCATTCCTCTGCAGCCTAAAAGGATTTTTCTCTTAAAGAGGAGTTTCTAGAAAAGCAGCAGTTGAAATGCCACCTTCAGAATTCAGCACTCAGGTGGGGTTCTCGATGGTGGTGGGGCAGAGCCTGACAAAGTAAGGCATGTTCCTTTCAGCCCAACGGACACCCCAGGGATCGCCACAGGGCACTTCCTGAGAAAAGTCATGAGGATGGCTAAGCAGACAAGAGTAGGCATGAGGTCTCCAGGACAGAAGCCAGCACAGAACCTGTGATTCCCAAAGTGACCCTCTGTGCCTCGTGGTAGGAAGACAAGGTACCTTCAGGACCTGGGCAAGCCTGATGCCAGAAACTGGGGAGAACACCAGCTAGGCTACAAGTGTGTTGGGGAGAGCACAGTATTGTGGTTAAATTTTGGACGTGACTTAAATTTTGGACAGGTAGATCTGGGTTTAAGCCCTGTCCCTTTCACTGACTGCTGGGTGAGTTTTGGAAAGTTCCTCAAAATTCCTGAGCTCTGGTTTTGCATCTGTTGGACAGGGATTAAAATGGCAGGCACATGAGTTAAATGCAAGGCTTCAGGGAGAAAATGTGTGCAAGGGGCTTATCATAATGGCTGGCATTGGAAGAAGTCTGTAAACAAAAGGAAAAAGAAAAACAAACTAACGAAAACCACAGGGGCAAGGGTGACATGGCCCTGAGTTGCCTTAGGAAAATCGTTGGCATCTTCTCTTCTCTCAACCCCAACATGCCAGCCTGGAGAATTAGCTGTACCCTGACCCAATGATTTAAGCCTAGTGGGACCGGTGTTATTCGGGTTCCAGGGAGTCCTCCAAAGTCAGTTCCTAAACTGATTAGGAAAAGGATCATTTTGCCTCTTCCTGAAATTGAGAGGTCACAGTGATAGAACTGCCATTCTGTGTTTTAAACGTCGATCCCTTTGTGATCTGAAAATGGAGAGGTGGTGATCAGCTTTCCCCCATCATTGGGAGGACAGAGTTCACGGAGGAATTACTTCTGTGCCCTGATCTGTGCGCTCCAAAGCACTTCCTGATGTGTGAGGGGTTTTAACTCCTCTGTGTCTCAGGCTCAGAATTTTAAAGCAGGGATCGCCCTTCTCACACAGCTGCCGGACGGCTCAGGGGGCTAATTGGCATCAGGTTAATGCACATGCTCTGACATACATTAAATGCTCAGGACATGCTTCCCATGAAGTGTTGAAAATAAAAAGATTGATTTTCACAACAGAATGGATGTCCAGCAGCCTCAGGTGTGGGAGACCTTGGCCGGAAAGGGGCTGCGTCCATAGACTATTTTAGGCATGGACTGCACGTTGGCATTCTTAGCTGCCACACAGGGACAGATTTCAGAGACGATTGTAGCTCTGTGCCTGGGGATAGAGGATGAAGACATTTTTGGGTACTTTTCAAAGCGAGGGAAGGAGCGATTTTTAACATGTTTTAAGGCAACCTTAAAAAAAACATACTCTGTTGTGGTGCGAAGCCTTAAAGTGTTGTATTTTTACATAGCGACAGATATTTGTATACTTAAAATCTCAGAAATAGCAAACTCTGCTCAAATCGTGAGGCACCTACGTCAAAACCTAGTACAGGGTTTTAATATAGTTGAGCTTGTTCTGAAATTTCCAAAAGAATGGCTGCTGAGTGTCCTCAGGGGAGCATGTGTGGAGGGGGTGGGAGGGAGGAACGGAATAAAAGATCGAAGCATAAGGATCTTGTGGGACTAAGAACAAATTCGAAAAACAATCAGAAATCAAAATCCTTGACCCTATCCCCCAGACATAAAAGAGAAGCCCCAAGTGGCACAGGAAAATAACCTTCAGTGGGTCTGTCCACGCAAGGGGAATGAATTTTGTTTCTGCTCTGCTGTTAATTAATTAAAACAGTCCCTGGAAATTCCTTCCTCTCTTTCCCACCAAGCCTTTAACAGGCAGTGTTACAAAGGGACGCTTTGGGTCGGTGATCAGATGAACTGGCTGCTGCAGAACTTTCCAAGGCTCAGCGATTCCGCAAAGGGACAAAAGAGGCACATAGATGCAAAGGGACACACACCTCAGTGAACAGACCTTGGCTTGGGAGAAGAAAAGAAAAAATGAAACAGAAGGGAAAACTTATAGTGTTTTTACATCTATTTTTGTGTTTTCAGTTTTGCCTTTCCTGTCTCCGTCTTTGAAGTCTAGGACTTGGCAGGTAGCTTAAAAAGCAAAAGTGCAGCAGTTCCTCCTGTTTATTCATTGCTTTTTTTTTTTTTTTTTCTGGAAGCAGAGACTCAAGTCAGAGGGGCCATCAACACTGAGAAGGCTTGCAATGAAACGGATGTGGTCATAAGCAAACACTGCCCTTGGGGTCAGCTTGGGTTCCTCTCTTTCCCTCACAGCCCACGTGCTATCCATCAGCAAACTTGGTACCTCCACCTCCAAAATA